AAAAAAAAAAAAAAGTTGTGACAGTCCGTATTTTGGAGTTGCTTAGGACATTGGATGTGCATTCTAATGCATGGTTACTTTACTTGCATGTATTTCCGTACTACCATAAGGTTTTTCCTTTTCAATATGGTTCATTGGCTAGTTCCCCTCAACATCTTGAAGTAATTCTTCACTGAATTCGTCCACTTCATGGCCTGCGCCCTTACGAAAACTATTAATGGGTATCTTTCTTTCAAGCCAAACCTGCTAAATGGATAGATATTATAAAAAAGAATGATTATATGCAATTGGTTGGCAGATATTTAATATGAAGTTATTTTTTCTCATGACCAGCAACTAATTTATTGCTGTCTTGTGCATTTTCAGGTGAAAAGAGCATTAAGAGGCATAAAGGTGCAGCTCGACCATCAGGATCATGTCAAACGGTACAAAATTACAGGCGTGTCAACAGAACCTACTCAAAAGTTGATGTAAGCTCATTTAATGTTTTTATGGGTGCATTTTTTGTTTTGGTACTCTGAAATATTTTTTGGGTGGCCAGTATGGCTCCTGACAACAATGATATACATTCAGGTCTTATGGATTATGTGATGTGAATAGCTTTCTTCGTCTTTATAAGCCTATGCTTGGCCCCCATTTTTTCAAAACTTATTTTTTAACCACACATTCCCTTATAAAATAATTTCATACGCAACCCCCAACTTTTCCTTACTTTTTAACCACACATTTTCAACAAAACACTATTCTAAAATGCATTTTGGCCAAAAAAAAAAATGGGGCTCAAACAAGGGCTAAATGTCATGTAGCGTTGAGGGGAGAGACATAATTGAAGTTTCTGATACATATGATATGATATATGGCTTGTCTTCCTGATTGTTTATTTTTCTACACTTCAGTTCTAACATTTTTCTTTATAATTAACTAGGTTTCAGCTGGACGAGTCAGGGACAAGAATATCTGTGGCCCAATACTTCCACCAGAAGTACAATATTGTGCTCAAGTATCCATTCTTGCCTGCGATTCAGGCGGGCAGTGATACAAAGCCTGTTTATCTTCCTATGGAGGTATCTTGTTAGAAATTCATATTTTCTCTTTCCTCGTCTGTTTCTTGACACTGACATTGTGGTTTTAGCATCTAATTCCTCATTCATCCTTTGCAGCTTTGTAGCATTGTTGAGGGCCAAAGGTACTCTAGGAAGTTGAATGAGAAACAAGTTACTGCACTTCTGAGAGCTACCTGTCAACGTCC